ATGGAGGCCTCGCAGGAGAACGAGTTCGCGACCCTCCGAGTGGACGTGAGGTTCTACCGGCGCTTCGTCTACTACCTCCTCACCCTGTACATTCCCTCCGCCTTGCTCATGATCATCGCCTACGCCAGCTTGTTCTTCAACCCGCTGGACTTCAACTCGCGCATCGTCGTCGCTCTGACCGCTCTGCTCGTCCTGTCGTCGCTCTTCACGCAGGTACGGTGGCCTTCGGGGGTCTTGATTTTTTTTTTTTTTTTTTTTTTTTTTTTTTGTGTGTGTGTGTGTGTTTCTGTAAATGCTATAAAATCTTCAAGTATTCTTATATATAGATATACATATATATCAAATTTAGTATCTAAACAATGACAAGAACACTATTTGAAGAAAAGTCAGGTTTCAAAATGTTTACGTAGAAAAAAGAAAAAGAAAAGAAAAATATCATATATAGGGTTCAAATAGTTTAAGTATAAAAAGAAAAAAAAGGAAAAAAGAAAAGGAAGAAAAAGAAAATAGGAAAAAAGAAAAAGAAAAACTAAAAGAAAAAAAATGAAAAGAAGAAAAAATATAAATATATAACACACTAAACAACTCTTTGATCACTACCTGCCAAGTAATAACAAACATCATAAAATCTCACTAAGTGACCGACACACACACCCAAACAAACCAAACAATCAATCCAACACAGTTACCGGAATCACCATTTCGACAACTGTCATTTAGAGCGCCTTTTTAGCCCAACTCTTCCCTTTCCAGACGTCGAACTCTCTCCCCAAGACCTCCTACTTCAAGATGGTTGACGTGTGGTTCTTCTTCTCCATCGTCATCATCTTCTTGGTTGTTCTTCTCCAGACGGTGATCGATTTCTCGGCCGGCAAGAACTGGTTCGTTTGCTGCAAGAAGGATACGGTTGTGCAGGTAAGGGGGGGAGTGGGGTGGAAGGGAGGGAGGTGGGGAGAGGGTGAGGAAGAGAGGGGGAAAGGGAGGTGGGAGGGAGATGGGAGGTAGGGAGGGGGAGGGAGATGGGAGGTAGGGAGAGGGAAGGAGAGGAAGGGAGGGTAGGGAGGGGAGAGGGAGGTAGGAGGGGGGAGAGAAAGAAGGGAGGTGGGGAGGGAGAAGAAGAGGGGAGGAAGGGAGAGGGAGAGGGGAGGAAGGGAGGGGGGAGGGAGAGGAAGCGAGGAGGAAGGGAGGTGTGGAGGGGAAGAAGAAGAGGGGAGGATGGGAGGGGAGAGGGGGAGAGGAAGAGGGGGTGGGGGGTGGGGAGGGGGAGAGGAAGCGGGAGGAAAGGAGTGGGGAGGGAGAATAAGAGGGGAGAAGGGAGGTGAAGAGGGGGAGGGGAAGAGGGGAGGAAAGGAGGGGAAGAGGGAGAGAAGGAGAGAGGAAGAAGGGAAGTGGGGAGTGGAAGAAGAGGGGAGGAAGGGATGTGGGGAGGGGAGAGAAGAAGGGAGTAGGGAGGGAGAGGAAGGAGGTGGGGAAGGGAGAGGGGAGGAAGGGAAGTGGGTTGGGGGAGAGGAAGAACGGGAGAGAGGGCAAAAAGGAGAAAGTAGGAAGGAAGGGAGAAAGTAGGCAGTGAAACACAGGAAGGAGAGGAATTTGAAGGAGAGAAAAGGACAGAAAGAAAAAACAACAACAAAAGATAAGGAGGTAAAGATTAATTTAAAAAGAAAGAAAATGGGAGGGAGAGGCTTGGCAGAGATGAAGAGATAGACAGATAGATGAAAAAGAGATGCTGGGAAAGACAAATCGATAGATTACATAAAAAAACTCACTAGTGGAAAGTCTGATGGAAAGTTACTCAAGGAAAAGAACAATTCTAATATTATTCGATTTTTTTATGAACTGGATTATAATCATGATTATTTCTTCTGCTTATTTACTGCCATTTATCTTTGTTGTTACGCAATCATGCATTTGTCATATGTTTTTATTTTTATATTAATTTTTGAATTATTAATTTTACCGCGTAGCTTTTTCATAAACGATCAACGAGATTCTAGAACACATGATTATCTCTATCATTATCACATTTTGAATATCAGTGCTGCCACGGACATCTCCATCATCATTAACGATTAAAAACATTACAACAATCATCACCATCGTCATCAACCATCACTATCGTAACTAACAACCATCATCATCATCAACCATCACAGTCGTAACCAACAATCATCACCATCACCATCAACCATCACAAACATTACCAACAATCATCAACCATCACAAACATTACCAGCAATCATCACCATCACCATCAACCATCACAAACATTACCATCAATCATCCAACATCGATCATTTATCACTCCGGTATCCGCAGTCCCTTAATCCAACGCTTTCCCAGGTGTTGCCGAGGGCTTCGAGGGAGACAAAGATGCCAACAGAGAGTCCTTTCGGTCGCACACTGAGCCCAAGCTACAATGCCGCCATGCTCAAGTTCGGCCAGATCATCCTGCCGGTTATATTCCTGGTGTTCAACCTGATCTACTGGGGGTCGTCTTTGG